CTAAGCTGGCTAGTACTAACATAAGACCTTACGTTTTCAAACGACAATCGGTTGTTTTACCTTGTTTTCTAGATATCCGAAGCCGAAGTTCGTTTTCATTTAGCTAAAATAATTGTTGCTGCCGCCTGTGACTCTAACTGTTAGCATGTTCGTTCCTAACTGTCCTTTATGATGTTATCGGCAAAATGAAAGGAAACAGTCTGCGTTTTTTAAATTTTTTTCAGTAGTATGGACAACACTATCCCACCAACGAGTCAAACTAATACAGAGTGCCCAGCAGTAGGATATATCGGTACTGATTTCGAAAGGACCCAGACTTCCGACAACTATAGATGAAGTCACAGATGCTACCAATCTATTGAAGAGGATTTGTGATGAAAAATACGCCATATACCAGTAATAGAGGGGTTGTACTCATTACGTAGTGCGTTAAAGCAAGCCTAACATTGAAAAGCCGGAAATCAGCTATCAGTGTGTAGTGTATGTTTGCTGTTTCGGCAGTATTCAGTATGAATTCATACTGAAGACAACAGGGAGTTGATCATAGAAACACAGTTTACAGTACAACAAACCTTTCTTCAGTAAAATCATGCACTGACAGTCTATCTGGAAACAATCAACTATGTGAATAAACTCACTATGACTTGAGATATTATTTCAGCGTGCAAGGGAAGTGCAGTGTAACGCAGTCTGACGTGGCGAATAAAAATTAAAAACAGAGAAAAATTAACTACATAGTCTAGTTATTTAATAAAAAATACATTATGAGATGACAAAATCTGTGGTTACTTGAACGCACAAATGACAGTGTGCGATACATTAGGTTTACATGGTTGCGTTGCGGATAAGATCACCCCAAATGTGGACAACCAAATTGGTTGTTCCCCGTTGAGGAGGGAATGCAGTGTGACGATTGTAAAATGTGGTACCACAAAATGTGAACACGCCTAATTCCAACGGCTTACAAAAGATGCTCGAAGCCTAACTCGCATTGGCTTTGTATGTTCTGCTGTACGGATAAAAATGTACTAATTCAGGAGGCTATGGGCCTATTGGCTTTGACCTGCAGGAAAAACGATGGCGGAAGCACTGATAACAAGAGCGCTGACGGTGAAGAACGTGTCAGTGTAGTAAGTGCTGCTAATGGACCCGTTAAACACCTGACTGCGGTTGACGGGAACGTGAAGTCTCCGTTGACATTAACGAGGAATGAAGTGTCGCTTGATATTTACATCGGCAGTCATACACCTCTAGTCGAAATAGAAGATCCGGATAAAACTGTCACCGTTCCACATAGTCCAGGTGTGGCTATCCTGAGTGGTGACAAATGGACTTCAGTAAGGAGAAAAAGAAATGGGGGGAAAAAGGCTGTAGGCAAAACGCAGCTGGTCAGCAAGGCATTGAAATGGATGTTATCAAAAGAAAAATCCTCACTGCGTGACAAGACAGATCTCTCTGAGAGATCAGTCATTTTTCATAAGATAAGAGAATCTTCAGATACAGAACCAAAGGCAAGATTTGAACACGATCTCAATTATATTAAGACATCATTAAGTAAACTACTCCCAGATACAGTTTCAGGAGTTAGTATTTGTAAGCTTTATGGAATAGGAAAAAAGTGGATTCCTGAAGTCCTCAGAAAAACCGCCTCCTAAAGGTTACATTCAACACGGTGGAAGAAAGGAACCTGGTTTTAAGTAATTCACGTAAACTGATTGGATCCGGAATATTTGTCCGTGAGGATCTCAGCCTAGCTGACCGTATTAAGAGACGAGCTTCAGAATCCGAACTAAATGAGCGTCGCCAAAACGGTGAAGGAAACCTCGTTCTTAAGGGTTTTCAAATTGTAAAAGTTCGGAGCAAAACGGTCCCCAAGTCACTCTGAGTGGCAAGGGAAAGCTCTCCACAGACTTAAAGGTATACTACACAAATGCTCGCAGCCTTCTAAATAAAATGGCGGAGCTGAGGTCAGTGGTGGATAAAGAAAAACTGGACGTTATCGCTGTCTCGGAAACTTGGTTAACGTCAGAAGTAGTAGATAGTGAAATCCAGTTGACTGGTTTCATAACCAGTAGGGCTGATAGATTAAACCGTAGGGGAGGCGGGGTTATTTTGTACACGAAAAGTACCCTAACCATAAGATTAGCTGAGACAGTAGCACATGTTTCAGGAACATGTGAACTGGTGAGATGTAAGTTGAAATGCCGACGGCAAGATATTGAAGTAGTTGTAGTTTATCGCAGTCCAGAATGTGTAGCAGATGATTTTCTCCTAAGTAAACTTAAGTCCTTGTGTAACAACGGTAAAAGTCTTGTAGTAGGCGACTTTAATGCACCATATATAAACTGGGTTGACGTGGAAGTAGGGTCGTCGATATCGTCGTTCAACTGCAAACTGTTAGAAACCTCGATCGAACTAGCATTATTCCAACACATTAGAGATCCCACAAGATACGAGTTAAGAAACTCTTCTTCTCTCCTAGATTTAGTCTTCACACACGGTGATGACGTTGGTCAAATGGCTTTTCTCCCACCACTTGAGAGAAGTGACCATGCAGTCACCTTATTCAAATTCATGGCTGAGATTGCCTGTCAAACAGTTGCGCCGGTCCGTCTCAACATATGGAAGGCAGATACGTAGGTAATTAACTCCGCAGCATCGACTGAGAACTGGGAAATTGACTCAAAGGCATCAGTACAAGAGGCATGGACTCTATTCAGGCAGTTATACAATCGGGTAACTCAACCATACATACCCTGGACTGTCCCAAAGAAAAAGAAGCACGGCCATCCCTGGATAGGGCGGGATATTCGACGCTTACTAAGACAAAAGAAGAAATGCTAGGATGTTGCCATCCGCCTTGGCACGGCAGGTACGATGGAACGCTACAGATCGATAAGAAACGAGTGTATAACAAAAATTCGGGGAGCTCAGAGAAAATATGAAATGCAGCTGGCACAATCTCCACTCAAGCAGCCCAAGAGAATATTCTCGTGCATAAACTACAGAACAAGAATGCATCATTGGATTCCCAGCCTAATTAAAGTAGGAAGTGAATCTGAAATGATAAAGGAAGATCAGGAAAAAGCAGAGGCTATAGCTGACTATTTTGGGGCAGTTTTCACTCAGGAACCTCCTCTAGAGAAAGAACCAGACCCAAATACAGAGTCAACAAACCAGCTGCTCACCGTGGACTTCGACCAAAACGATGTGCTTAAGGCTCTTGGCACCCTAAACATGGAGAAGTCAACAGGACCAGGTGAACTACACCCCAAAATCTTGAGACATATTGCCCAATATATCGCGGCCCCACTGAGTGTGATATTCAATATGTCACTTGACCAAGGTGCGTTACCTATGGACTGGAAGGACGCAATCGTCACTCCCATACATAAAACAGGTCCACGACAAGTTCCATCGAATTGCAGACCCGTAAGTCCCACCAGTGTTGTAATTAAAATACTGGAAAGAATAATCAAACGAACCATAACGGCATTTATGGAAACCAACAACTTGCTGAACATGGCACAACATGGTTTTAGAAAGGGTCTATCCTGTACAACGAACCTCCTTATAGCTGGGGAGTTCTGGATTAATGCGCTGGACAACGGAAACTCAGTGGATGTTGTCTACATAGACTTCAGTAAGGCTTTTGACAAGGTGCCAACTAATAGACTACTATTGAAGTTGGCAAACCTTGGTATTGCCGGACCTCTTTTAAAATGGATTAAGGATTTCCTAGTAGGTCGTAGGCAAAAAGTAAGAATAAATTCCAAGTGCTCCATCTGGAGACTAGTACTTAGTGGAGTACCCCAAGGTTCCGTCTTAGGTCCTTTACTTTTTATAATGTACGTTAATGATCTTACAAGTATAGTACAGTTTCCAATGTTATTATACGCTAACGATGTAAAAGCTTGGCGAGTAGTAATTGGAGACAAAGACGCATTTACTCTTCAGGCAGACTTAAATAATATGATAAACTGGTCTAAAGAGTGGCTGATGCCTATCAACTCGGAAAAGTGTGTCTACATGCACTTGGGGGATTCAAAGGTTGATACGTACAACATGGGGGATGTGTCATTATCAGAAGTCTGGTCTCATAAGGATCTAGGTGTGACAGTGAGTAATGATCTTAGGACGACAGCCCATTGCCGGGAGGTCGCAGCCAAGTGGTTTCGAACCCTCTGGGCTTTAAAAAGGACATTCACTAAGTTAGATATTACCATGTTCACCACAGTATACACATCCTTAGTGAGGACTAGGCCAGAGAACTGCGTTCAGGCTGCAAGCTCCTGCTTAAAAGGTGGCTCGGACATACTAGAAAAAGTACAGAGGGCATCTACACGTGCAACTCCGGGACTTCGGGGTTTATCATACAAAGAGCGACTTGAAAAACTGGACATCTTTATTCTGTCCTATCGCAGACTAAGGGGAGATCTTATTTTGATGTACAGAATACTGAGAAATGATTTCGGACCTAACTTGTTCTCTCTCTTTCTTCCCACTAGATCGGGACACCTCAGAGGACATAGCAGGCCAGTAGAAAAACCAAGGACGAACAAAATACCCGTGGTATACAGGTTTTCACACCGAGTCACCAGTACTTGGAACCTGCTGCCTGAAGCAGTGGTGTCCACACCTTCAACTGACTCTTTCACGAGAAGACTGAACACTCACAGAAGCATACTAGAAAAGGAATGACATAGGCCGTAGGCCTTCTGTCCTTACTACACAAATCTGAATCTGAATCTAGTTCTTGGTGATATATATCAACCAAGCATATATGTACACACACTGATTCCTCCATCCAGAATCAAATGTATATCCATATTTAGACTCGTTTCTAAAATTTTGTAGGTAACTTAGCCTTTTAAAATTGAATATTGGACTGGCTCTTTGTCAATAAGATATTGAGCCACGATCGTTAACATATTTACCCGGGGTCCGTACTAGCTTTGAATTCTGGAAGATTGTTGAGCGTTGTAGTCTTTTTCCTCAGGATGTGCAAGTCTTGTGCAGGATGCGTTCGCGTGCTGATGATTGTGTTTAACATCCTGTTTACAGTAAGTGCTTTTGTAGTGTATTATAACAAGTAATAACTTATGTTCATATTGTTTAGAACCACCAAAATAGGGAGTTTGGGCATTTAAAACTAGTCATGATCTAATGAACTCAGAACCTCTGTGGCCACAGTGTTTCAGTTTGTAAACATATCCTAACTTAGGTTAGGAGGGTCACAATATTGCCTTTCTGAACCCTTATAATTTATTCTGACCTCAATGTCAACTTTTTTCTAACGTACCGGGGACATAACATTGGATGAAAAGGTTTGGTACTGGTGTTAATTATCTTGTCTGGATAAATATGGTGGTTTTTAAGAATTCTTGTTTAGACTACTTGCAGCTGCGCAATAGGGACTCTGCGTACATACTCGTACAAATGCATGGTACACCGAAAATTTTACATCTACATGTACTAATATAACTAAATGTTTTGGTGTGATTGTAACCTGGGGTGATTTTGAGCGATGGTTGATTAGGCTTTAAAATATGCACCAACTTGCCAAAGCTAAAAAGGTTCGCAAATCAGTCTGAGTAGTTGTGATTTGCATAAGGGACTACACCACGAACTGACGTCAGCTATAATTCACAAATGCTACTTAGCCATATGGATAAATGGGTTTTCGCCAAAACCCAAGGCATGCTATCCTTAATCATATTGGTTTGTCCATACGTTATGGTCTTATCCTTCGGGTTTCTAAGACTAATTTTCACCCAACCAATCGTTAAGTAGATCATTTTCATCTACCAAAATGGGATACTACTGGAAGTGGGCGACATTAAGACATCTACCAGGATGATATTGCTTATTTTAACAAGAGTGCATTAATAGTGTTTTATAAAAGTCCCAAGGAAAAATACCTTATGAATCATGGTTGTATTGGCAGTCACTTACAAGGTCTTATGCGAGATATTTTGGATCTCTCAAATTTACATGCAGACGGCGTTATGTATATCTGGATTTGAATCTAAGTTCGTAATTGAAAACTTTCGCATTATTTTCTTTTGAGAAACTTCAGTAGCATCTAGTGAATTAGGGTTTTGGGATTTCAGATCGCAATAGATTTCTAAAAGGAACTGGAAAGGCCTATTCGATGAAAGTTCCCAATAATCTAACAGTGGTTGGTCAACATTCTCTCAAACTGACCTTAGTTATCTTAGAGTTTATGGTAAAGTTTGTGAGGAAACCCACAAATACTAAGGGATATTTGCTTAAGTTGCTGCCGTCTTTAATTGCTATCTTCGAGACTAAACCTAACTTATAAATTGTTAGGTAAAGAGTGGAAAATGTTTATCTCAATTACAGTGGGCCATGATAGCGTTTGGCGAAAAGGCACTACTTCCAACCAAACTCTAGTATTTTAAAAGGCCTTAAAGTTTGCGCTCACTACAATATTTTGGCCGTCATCCCAATAATAACCATTCTTCAGAGAAACTAAACTGCTACGATTTTTTACAAGTTCATTAAACCTTATTTCTCGAGATGTGATGGACTCGAATTATTCCCTTACAAATAATTCATTTAGTCTATGACTGCTTCAACACACCACTAAAGGGATAAGTTAGTAATTAGAATAAGTTCGCTGTTAAGCATTCTGTGATTAACTATTAACGTAATGAACCAAAGCAATCCAAGTATACTAGCTAAAACTGCTCATACCATGGTTAATTATATAACAATACAGCTAAATACAACTACATCTAAATTGAAGTCAGATCGCAATGTTGAGCTTTCTACTGGCAAATTTATGCTTTCAAAAGTACTGAAGTGTATATCTAGTGATTTTGTTTTCCTGTTCTGATCAGAAGCTAGAAAGGATAAACTAAGGAAAAGACTCGTGTTTTGCCTGTTTGTTCTTGATAGCTCAGACTTTCAGGAGCATAAGAATCTGAAGAGTAGCAAACTTGCAGAGCTTGTTAAATAGTATGGTTGAATACTTTAGCTTAAACATGTATAGTTCTTTTGTGTAAGATTAGTTCATGTACATAAATGCATAGTAAACGAACCTTTTGGTATTTTTGTAGTCTGTATTATTGTGTTGAATTTTTATTCTGCTTCTAGATCATAGGGATGATTGTTTTATCCGCTGCTTTGTACTTCTACTTCTCAACATTCGGGGTTAGAGGTACTGATCAGCACAATATATTGGCTTATACTTATATCGTTCTGGCTGCTATTGGGGCTCTGAGCTTTGTATTGGGAATATTAGGTTGTTGTGGCTCATATCACTATAGTCGATGTTTGTTGGGCTTTTATTTTGCTCTGTTACTGGTTATTTTCGCCATCGAAATTGCTATTGGCGTAGCTGGGTTCGTTCATAGAGAACAGGTAAGTTTAAATTTGTATTTAAATGTATCTACTTTACAAAAAGTTCTAAACATCAATAATGTGGATGTAGCGCACAATTGCTCGGTTATTCGGTTTGCAATTATCAAGTTGTAATCTTAACCTATTGCGTACATTTCAGTTCCAGTGCTCTTTCAGTGTTGTTGATTTTACTCAGCACCTTGCGCAAATGTGTTCATAGCATTGTAGTGGTGGTATACCTAATGATAGAAATGGATTACTTATTTCTCTTGTTAAACCGAATTCGGAGCTTTAGGGGGATGATGTATTTTCTCTTTTACACTAAATTTTAGCTACTGACCGTTGAGATTAACTTTATTGGTGCACACCACGTCTGATCTTTAACGTTTTACAACCATCTGTTAAGTGGTTGTCTGATAACTTAAGCATTCAGTGTTATTTTGTTTAAAACAATAATTGAAGCACTTGACTTTCAGTAAACGCATCACAGATTCAAGCGCCGTCCTACACACTTTCATTTTCAATAATCGTCATAAAGTTAGAAACTAGTGACCAAAGGAATAAAGTGATACACTAATGATAACATGGTCGTCTCACAGTTTAACGGATCCGCCCCCAAATGCCCTGATACATCCGAAGGTGAGTACGAAATGTGCATCCAGGGGAGTTAAAAAAACTAGGTTCAAACCAATTGTATACGTGTAGTCCAGTCGCTATCATTCAATAGCAGCACCATTTTGGTAATATGGACGTTCCGGGCTCATTGATGATAACTCAGTTGGTACCATTTTTTAGAAACACCGAATTTGGTGGTTTGGTCATCTGTTACGAATCATATCCCAATGGTTTTCACATCACGCATTATTTGCCGACTCTAGGATTCAGAAGGAAATGTCAATTTACAACATACGGCCCTTCCCTCGTTTATATCTGTACAGTATTGTTTGTGTGTCGCATGCTTTTTCAGTACCCTGTTGTACCGGAATTTGTATATTAAATAACAAACGGCTTCATCTCACTCCGATTGTGCTCTGTTACGCTAACTGACAGGTGCTAAATGAGTTGAATAACACCACCATTTTCAGCTTCTATTTGTCATTCAAATGGCGTCCATATTTCACTGAAATATCCTATTAAGTAATTCAATGATAATACTAGTGGTAATAATAGTGGGTCTGTTCAGTGTTATATATTTAGTACAATATGGAATTCTCAGTGCACAATATTCCGACAAGTTCCTATGACTTGTCTTATCACATATATATACAAAAATACGTAAATACAGTGGCATATAAATCTTTGCAAAAACAGTGAGAATGTAAATAAATGTTTCAAGAGTTTGCATTTTTGGTTAAGTCAACCCTTACAACTTGTTTTTTGTGTAATATATGTGCTAGATGTGGCATTATATATTTTATGTGCTTTTTTGTGTGAATGTATCATATGCGTTTCATTTTTCTAGAAAATATGCAAGGAATATGAAGCAAATGAGGTGCAGGTTATGTATCTGATAAAATAAAACTCACCAAGATTTCAACTGTCTATCGACAAACATTTTTAATGACATCAAAAGATTCACAAAATGCTATACTAATTGGCTTCAGCACTCCACAACACAGTAAAATCTCTGAGAAATCTAGGGAAGAGTAGTTAGGAAAATCACAAAATGATAGATTATGTGCACAGATGGTCATGCTATTAATTTATGCAACTAAACACGTAACATTGTGTGGTATAGTTATTACACAGAAAATATTTCAAATTTATTCCTTTATGTTGCATTTTTGCTTTGCGCATTTTTATTCAATACCTTACTAGGCACGTGCAATTATCCACGAAACACTTAAAGAAGGTGTTGAAGATTGGAAAAATTCCAACAATGAAGTTCGATGGATGGATGCAATCCATGTTATGGTAAGATATTCTATATTTCTGTTTCCTCCCATAACACTTAAGAATAAATTGCTATGATATTTTAACATATATGGTATTGTTTGTACTTGTAAAAATGTGTTTTGACTCATAATTTCCCACTTAATCTCGGTAACTACGTGTGTGACTTGGTAGTCATATGTTGTAACGTTGCTTCACCTACTCTATATCCTGAATATTTTTGGATTGTTACTCAACGTGTTCAGAAAACTGCATTTGACGTCGTCTTCACCAATCAGAACTATGTCATTTTTATACACTAAGTCGATCAGTTAGTCTCAAGTAGTATATTAATCCCTAAAGTATTATTACTAAAAGTATATCTATGACAAAAAATAAAAGGGGGGGGAAGGTTCACTCCAAGTAACAATATATTTCCCCCTATCTTTGAAATATGTGGAACTCGAGTTGAGCATAAGTTTCTTGGCAATGAAATCAGTTTAATATTTATAATAATCTGTTTAGGCCTTTCTTCACGTTTACATGCTACGTAGCTTGAACGAAAAACTAGGTTTTTCTACACATCGATCACAAAGACGTGTTTCATTTATTCAGGTGTTGACTACTAAAATATAGATGTCTTAGTGTTTTGAATTGTACTGTTAAGTCGTACTTTTTGTGTTTAGTTTAAATACTTCATCAGCATCGGCCGAAGTACGTTCAAAGCAGATGAATGTGATGAATATAAACGTAAAAATTAGATCTTAATTGACGATTGAACGAAGTAAATCTGAGATGTTCTGCGGTTTACTTGGTATTTTTGCTATCTGAAGGGCAATTGTAAGACGCGATTGAGCGATTATTAAAACAACCACGAAGAATTTTAACCCATTGTAAATGAATGGTTTATGGAAAAGAACAACATTAAAAAAAGCTTCACGCAATTAGTAAATCTATTAGTCTTCAGGCTTTCCTGTCTGTAAATTAAATTAAATAACATCCAACTTCTCAAGCCTCAAATATAAGGAGATTTTGGGACTCAGGATGTAAGGGAAGATAAAGAGTGAACGCACTTAAGCCATTGCTAATTATTCTAAGATAAAACACTGAGGTACTTAAGTGTGAGGCGTATCGAGTCTGAGGGCCAAAAATACTACCAGGTTGCTCAAATCGAAGTAGACGGTGGAGTTTTTATCTGGGACTCAATGAATGAAAGTTAAACGCCTTAACCCTTGGTTACGATAATCCCACAGATCCCTACCACGTGGTCTGGTTAAGTATTTTATATATTTAACACTAATTTCACTCTGACAACAAAAATAATTCTGATCGTCACACAAAAGTATTTCTCCTACTCGTGTTACGCTATATATGGCAGAATTCATTCATTTTTGAAATTTTGCCTGAAACTTAAAGTTTGTATTCCCAATTCTAATTGGTTTGCTCCTTGCACTACCATTTTATCATGTGAAGTTACCAAAGGAAGAGAAAGCACATTTCACACAGTTTATTACCTTTATAACTAACCAATCCACTTAAGTATGTGACTGCGATTTTTTTCCAAGAATATGTACTTATCGAGTTGTATATGTTAAAAAATATCAGAATATGTATGTATGCTTGAATTTTTCTGTCTAGTTCCAATGTTGCGGTTACAATGGACCTACAGACTATGGTATTGCTAAAGTCCCTTCTTGTTGTTTAAATGATCAATGTGCTATGGATTTCGCTTTGCTCAGTTTTCAGACGGTAAGTAAGCATTAGTTGTCTAGCTCTATAAATTTCAGAATATTTCATTTATTTTTATAAAATTCATACATTTTGTATCTATAAATGTGTGTCAATATGTAGAATGGTTTAACAATATACATCATATGCACATCTTAAACTGTATTTGTTAAACAGACGACTAGTCTCAGGATATGTATGTTCATATATGCATCCACTTTGGACATGCATTTTATTTTTCTTAACGTGTAGTTGGTTTACTGTAGAAAATCCACTCAAAATTTTCACTTGCCACTATCCGTTTGTTTGTTTTGTGAAATCTTCCAAATATTAGCAACGAATAGTTGACCTATTGATAATGCAACACGTTTATTCTAATCAGTTTTCAGTTATCGTAGATAAAATACACCTCAGATATCGTGTGCCTGCCTGAATAGGTGTATTAAAGTGACCTCAGCCTGCTCGTTGACATGTTAATTAATAGTGTCTAAGAATGAGCAAGTCCCCCATTAAACCCTTGGATTTTTAACCATTCTTTCATCCTTCCCTTTTAAATGGTTTGTGATTGTGTTTAAAGTGGCTTAGCGATTAACGTAGTCGGCTTTCAATTGGTGCACCACAACAGTTGATACTTTGTTTCGAGTACTTGAGTCTGACCAACTGGGTATTCGTATTTGTAGTCCTCACATGAAACCAGTGTTGTCCGGAAGTCGAGTATACTTAAACTTGTAATGAATAGATGAATACCTTTTATTATCATGATTATTGATTCAGATTTTATTTACAGCCAAATGATCTGTTCTTTTTGTTTAATCTCTAGGGTTGTAAAGAAAGAATTGACAATATTATGCATAATTTCCTAATCATATGTATCTCGGTTATTACAATAGCCCTCATTGAGGTAAGTTTCATGTAAAATAAAAGCGTGTGTCTGTGTATATGACTGACGTAATAAGCATTATATTAATAAATATATTTTTTGTAATATCACAGTGAGTAGAAAACTGTATTTCTGATGTTTCGTGACCTTGATGTAAGCCTCTTCGTGAGAGTAAATAGTTATTTACCATTGATACCTGCAAACTCATTAATAATCGAGTCAAATAAGTGCTCCGCATCGACTGCTGAAAATGTAACTAATGTTTGGTGGACAGTATGGTTATTAGATTTTAATATAACCTTAACAAATAAATTGGTGAATAGACCGACTAACGATCCGCTAGGCGGACTCCGGTTAGTTGGCAGTGGTCGAAAAACTGTACGTCCGAATAAGACGATGGGTGTTAACTCGAAAGGTATTCAACTAACTGCGTACACATGTAGGCCATGATGCACAATAGAATAGTGAATACCATAATTAATAAAAGTAAGGCATTCAGGGTAAAAGTCAGAATACTGTGCTCATGATTACATTATAATAGTTTAGGATTAGACGAATAAAGAAAACCAATAATCCAACTGTTTATAACTACAGATAAAAAACTAGGAATAATAATAAGCAAAGATGGATGGTGGCTAGCAGTGAAATTTAGGACAAGCGTTTCATCCCACTTGGGACTCGTCAGTTAGATGTACTTGTATCCCGGTGTTGATGTTTACTCTAGGACTCAAACCATGTACCATTCGCTTCAAACGCCATCGCAACTTATGGTAATCCTCTTAGGAGGTACATATGCCAATAAGAGATTGATCAATTGCAGTTATAATCATCAATAGAAAGATTCAACACACCAAATACAAAAAGTAATTAAGAGTAATAATATCTTAAAAGTAGGTTGTAGCTGACTGACTGACTGACTGAAATGTAGGTTATCTAGTTTGTTACATTCCTTTCATTTTCCTAGTTATAACGGTTTGGTTAACTTAATAATTATAACTAACATCCACATCACACTTGTTTTTTTTCTTTTCAAAATCTCCGTCTAGCTGATTGGTTTGATATTTGCAATGACTCTTTGTTGTGCTGTAAATGGGCGTGATCCAAACGCTTATTATCGTGCAGTACAAACAGCATAAATTGATTGTTTTTAAAAAAACACTCGACCAACCTAACCAATCTTTAAATAATTGAGAATTTCTAAACATGCAATTCTCCTATATGTTTCCACGAACCTATTCATTATGATTATATAATTCCAACTTTGTATTGTTCATCTATTTCAGAAATAACAATGAATAATGTAATTTAGTTATATGTGTTTATAATCTTCTTGTTCATTTCTACACATAGATATTTACAATAATCATTCAATCATTTCATATGAGTTGTCTTTTTTCTATTGTGTATCTGAGCAAAAGATTTTTCCTCTTTCTCTCTTTCACCTTCGAATGACCAATTTCATTTTCACACAATCTTTAATTAATCCTGTCATACAACACAGTGGTACTCTGTGTGTGTGTTTACTCATAGCTACACTTCTCTTCTTTTTTCTCTCATTGTCACCATCATCTTCGTTATTTTTACTAGATACATATAAGGAATACTCCACGAATGACACAAAGAAGTAAAATTGCGAAATTTAACACCCACCCACACACACAACACCTATGGTTGTATCGTAATAAAAATACATTTGTTATACTGATTTTTTTTTATAAAAGAAATCTGCCCAATTTTTACATTCTTCTCTTAGATTCTGTATCAGTTTCTCATGTTCCATGAAAAGTTGTTGGAATTTTTTAAAAATTTTCCTAACGGTCATTACTGTGTATGTGTGCGAGAGAGAGAGAGAGTATACTTCTACCGGTTAGACATGTTTATTCTTTAAGAAATAATTATTACTAATATTCCATCATTGTGTAGATAACCATTTATGTGTAATTCACCATTGTCTTATACTTGTTCAACCGGTTATTTTGATCATTTCATTAATGTTATGCATCTATCAACAATTTCACCATTGCGGTGTGTGTAGTGTTCTGTCATTTGTCATGTTGTTGCTTTTTTAATATTCGTATGTGTATTTTTTGTAATTTATAAAAATGAATTTTGTTCCATTTTTATAAACTTTTCAGTACATAGTAACATCATATTTGTTTTACACACTTGTCTTGATCATTTGTCACATGGATATTAAAATAATGATCTAATGGGAATATATTTATTCATCTTCTGGAATTTTTTTCGTTTTGAATGATGAATTACATGAATTCGTCGTTGGAATAGATCTAATCATTCTGTGTTTGTTCATTGTTGTATTACTATATAGATATATGTATTTGTTAATTTTGCTTCAATGATGATAATATTCTCATTCTAGTATTCTGCGTACACATATATTATATGAAGTGGTCTTTTTTTTAAAAAAAATATTGTTCATCAATTACCATCTCAAAATATACAACAAATTTCATACAGTGTACACTTGTTTTTTTAGTGTTTGTTTAGTTGTTTTTTTTATCCAATGCTGTGTGATGTGATACAAATCGGAGTGTGTGTATGTGTGTGGCTCTAAGCAAATGGGGTCAGTCAGATACAACGTAGGACCAATTTCGTGGATTGGTTGATGTTAGACACTATCACCATTGGATACCGGCTCAGTGGCCCAGTAGGTTAAGCATTTGCGCATTACTGAGGAGTCCCACTATAGGACGAAACGACCGTCCAGTGCTTCCAGGTTTCCAAAGGTGGTCTAACGGCTCATGATCTCAATCATAAATTACAACAGATTTTAAATTGAATTTATATTTCCACTGAAGTCATGGATTTCAACTATCTTTTATAGAATTCAGGAAAAGATTTGTATCTCAGTCTGACGCTACTAGTAGTTTAATGTTATTATTCTGTGAATCCGATAATGTAGTTGTCACCCTTATATAAATTACGTACCGATGTGATGTCCAAAACGGCACTGAAATGTATACAATTAGATAAAAACTCTTTAAGATACAATATGACACTCAATTATAAATGAAGTACAACACTGAAAACGTATAAACTTTGAGTGTTATAAAAGGAAAAGGGTGACTGATAGATTTACTGGTGAGAATCCTGGTAGGCTCATCGATTACGTAGAAAAATAACTATCTAGCACACGATTAGCGACTGTGATCCCAAAACTTGTAATCAGAGGTTCAGTCCACAATACTTACGCCTATTATCCCTCATGAAGGAGTATAGGCCACCCAACAGCACTCTCCATTGAATTTTGTCCTGGGCAATCCTTTCCAGTTGCTATTCATCCTTTTCATGTTTGCTTCCATTTCCCAACAAAGTCTGTTCTTCGGCGTTTCTCTTTTCTGTTCCCCTTCACGATTCCAAGTTCGGGATTGCCTCGTGATACAGCTTGGTGATTTCCGTAATGTATGTCTTATCCACTTCCAAACTCTTTCTAATTTCCTCTTCAACTCGAAGCTGATTTGTCCTCTCACACACTAGGCTGTTGCTGGTAGTATCTGATCAACGGACATTGAGTATCTTGCTTAGACAACTATTTATAAATACTTGTACCTTCTTGATGATGATTGTAGTAGTTCTCCACGTTTCAGCTCCATACAGTAAGACTGTCTTTACGTTCGTATTAAAGATTGTGACTTTGATATTTGTTGACAAACAGTTGCTTTGAGTTCCATTCGTTTTTGAATTGTAGGAATACGTCTCTTGCTTTGCCTTTACGTCTGCACCGGATCCTACCTATTCATCGATGATGCTTGGCAGGTATGTGGAAGATTCCAGAGTTCCCTCATCAAATGTGGTTCGGTTAGTGTCATCCATGTTGCATTTGAGGATTTTGGTTTTTCCTTTGTGTATGTTGAGGCCTACTGATGCAGAGGATGTTACCATACTAGTTTTCTTCATCTGCATTTGTTCGTTTATATGGGATAGAAGGGCCAGGTTATCTCCGAAGTCTAAATCTTCTAATTAATCCCTAGCTGTCTACTGTATTCCGTGCTTACCCTCAGATGTCAAGGTCTTCATAATCCAGTATAATACCAGGAGAAAGAGGAAGGAGGATAGTAGACAGCCTTGTCTGACAATATATTAAGATCATTTATTTCAGCTATTTAGAATGATAGTCACTCTAGATTTTAAAATCAATTAAGACGTATATATACATGCCTGTCCTTCATTGTTTAAAGTATCCATTAATTCTGTATTTATCATGTTCACCTTAAAATTAGATAAGTTTTAGTGAAGCTGAGTAACAGAAAAAATATATACATATGTTATGCCTCGATAAAAATAGTGAGTGGTAATTTTTGGGATCCATTTGTGGACCAATACTATACGTATATTTTTACCGTATAATTGTTAATTAACTAGACTATTCATGTCTCTCTTATCATAAGCTTTATTTTGACCTATGAACTATTATTATACGATTTTCTATTCTTGAATTATTCCCTATCTATTAGTCACTGCCTCCCTCATTCACAGTCACATCTGGCTAATTCTTGTACAAATGTTGTTTCATATTTTATTGATACGTTGTGGTCTCTTTGATTAGTATATAAACTCAGTATGTTTGAAATATAATGATTCATATTTCAGAGGCTGAGATTGGTGTTCTGGGCTTAACTGGCTGGGCTAGGCGGAAAGCAGGACCAATCAAGACTCTAGGCTGCTCGCACGTGTTTTACGCATCCTTGTTCCGATCGATAATTCACTGCCCTCTAATCGGCGGTCACAAGTTCTAACAACATTGTTATGACTTTAAGTTTGCTGTCGATTTCTACCCTGTGTTATCGATCGATTACAGTGACACGTAAACACGTACGGACGGCCTAGAGTCTCGACTGGTCCCACTTCCCTGTCTAGCCCAGTTAGTTGAGTCCAGAAGACAAGCCACAGCCCCGGAGATATGAATCATTATATTTCAAACATACTTTGTTTATATACCAATCAAGCATACCGCATCGTACCATAAAAATAGAAAACAACATTTTGTACAATATTCAACAAGTGAACAGATATCGACCAATAGAAAATGTCCATTTAAAGTCCAAGGACACCATTGGACTTAACATGATAATTATTGGTCTATTCCTCCGCATCCACAACAAACATATACATAACTAAGCAATAATTAATGTCTGCTTAGTGGTCGAGAGGTTATGCGTTCGCTCGGGAGACCTATAAGTCCTGGGTCCGAGTCCCTCGGGGCAGGATCATAGACGCACACTACTGAGGAGTCCCACACTGGGACGAAACGGCCGTCCAGTGCTTCCAGGTTTTCAATGGTGGTCTATCTTCAATTGACTTGTGAACTCAACTATTAGATTACTATAATATCCACAAAACCACTTTTTGATACTAACTAGTTATGAGTGGCGAAATAAGTTGATTAATGCTTGTAAATGTTGATATGTTTAGTATGTAATTATAATTACTTGGATTGGGGTTATAGGTCAAATACATGAAAATCACAAGAGTAAAAACTGGAATAAATGAACGTCCCTTGGTATTGTTTTTACTTGAATCTTCCCATTGATGATTAGGACTGCAATCGATCAGTCTCTTATTGCCATATGTGCATACTATGCGTATTGCCTCGATATTATCGGGTACATCCAACTGACGAGTCCCAAATAGGAAGAAACGCGCGTCCTGGATTCCACTGCTAGCCAATATCCATCTTTGCTTATAATCCTTGTGAATTACGGCAACATCGAGACAATACGCGCACAGTATGCACATATGCCAATAAGAGACTGATCAATTGTAGTCCTAAACATCAATGCGAAGATTAAAGTAAACAGTCCCAAGTGAATTTAACTTTCGCCACACTGCACAAGCAAGTAGCTATCAAGACGCGATGGCGTTTGTGGCGAAAGATATATGGTTCGAGTCACAGAGTGGACATCAACTCTAAGATGCAGGTACATCCAGCTGACTAGTTCTAAACAGAATCGGACGCACATCCTGTATTTCACTGCTAGACACTATCCATCTTTGCTTGGAATAAATGAAGTTAAGGTAATGTAGAAAAGAAATAATTAAGTCAATTAGTTAATGAGATATTATGTAATGCATTAAATGATGGATTGTTTCAATAATAAACTACTGAAAAGCCTAACAATAAAAAGATTGAACTTTGAATATATATAATGCGAAAAGAGATAACTAAGTTTGAGGTTTCAGTAGAGGGGTTATGGAGTTCGTTGAACTTGTAATATGACAACTACTAAAAATCAGGAAGAATTAAACAGCTGCTTCGTCTTATTATGGGACTATTCAACTGTGTGTATTTTCGACCTCACTAAAGATTTAATAAAGGACGTTCAGAATTCGCAACAAGCGATCAACCTTTAAATCAACAGGCTCTGACAGGTTTACCCTGAGATTTTTAAGGAAGGCGGTCCAGTATTAGCAGTGATATTGACTGAGATCTTACGTAGAATTTGGGAACTGGACGTAATCCTATCTGACTGGTCTCAATCTCTGATTGTCCCAGTCTATAAGAAAGGACAAAAGTCCTCTTGTGACAATCACAGAGGAATCAGTTTGACTAATATAGTGTCTAAAATATTAGCTTCAATAATACTTCGACGCCTAACTAAAGCTCACGAAGAGTGGACTAGAGAAAACCAAACCGGTCTCCGACCTGGACGTGGCCGTACCAACCAAATATTCACACTACGTCAGGTCCTAGAACATAGACACAATAGTAACATTTCTCGACCTTAAGGCGGCATTTGACTCTGTTGATCGTGAGGTTCTGTGGCAGTGTTTGTCACTGAAAGGAGTACCAAAGAAGTACATTGACCTTATAAAGGCTCTCTACTAGAACACAACTAGCTGAGTGAGAGCTTATGACGAAATGTCATCAAAATTGATTACCTCAAGTGGTGTTCGTCAGGGCTGTCCACTCTCTCCATTCTTGTGGTTGATGTACTTTAAGAGATAGCAATTTCCTCATCTAAGTTTCTAGGAGTTGGACTTTTATCGATAAATTGACTTGGAATATGTCGATGATATATTTCTGTTTGGTGAAGACCCTGACAAAATACAGTCGTCTGACTGCTATAAGCCACAACGCAAGCATGTTCGGGATGTGATTCTCCCCTTCGAAATGCAGAATGTTGCTTCAGGATTGAGTTGCATCGACACTCGAACTAATTATGAGGAGTGAAGTGGTTGAACGTGTCGACCACTTCACTTATCTTGGAAGTCTCATCAGCCCTTGTGGTATGGTGTGTGGCGAAATCTAAGCAGGGACACAGAAGGCCCGACTAGCTATTGCCAACTTGCGTCATTTATGGCGTAGGCGAGATATCCGTCTATCAACCAAAGGACGTGTTTACTGTGCAGCAGTTCGTTCTGTCCTACTTCATGGCAGTGAAACATGGCCGGTGAGAGTAGAGGATATTCGTAGGTTACTAGTATTCGATCATAGGTGTCTTCGAAACATTTCTCGTTT